TCAAAAGTTGGATGAGTTAACAAAAACATATATTACATCAATCACCTTTTATGTTTAATGATAATGGTAACATTTGGTTCAAGGCTTATCCTTATCCTTAAAGCTAACAGTTGTCTGAAATGTGACTGAAAATCAACCTTTGACTTTAGTGGTTGACTTCTTAAAAGGGAAAGATTCCAATTATAAAGCTACTGTGTTTTCAGTGTCTCAAGATCAAAGGGGAAAAATCATTACCTCATTAGCTTGGCTATCTCAGACCCAGAATTGCAGACTACAAGATCTAGAGCTGAAATTCAGCCTGGGCCACCAGTGACCTCTCTAACTCAGTTTCCTCATCTATAAAAACAAATGCTCAATTATTAAGCTACCCTACAGCATCCGACCACTCATCTTCTGGTTTCTTCAGCAGTCCTGCCCCTAAAAACCTTAAAACTACCTTCTAGTTCTCGGAAAGACCCGGTAAAGAGAATTACATCCCAATTCCAGAGATGTCAACAACAACCCTAGTATCTTTTCTCCTGAACTAGGAAAGCTACAGAAAGGTTTAGGCAGAGCTGCTCGACCTTGGCACTACTGATGTTTGGGGCCACATAAACCTTTGTGGCACCATAAAGAACCCCACGCACTAGAGGATATTGAGCAGCATCCCTGATTTCTATCCACTAGATGCCAGCAGCACCCCCACCCCCAGAGGTGACAACCAGAAATGACTCCATACATTGCCAAATGTCCTCTGGGGGCAGAATCACCCCCGGTAGAGAACCACTGGGCTGGGAGATGCTTGTTTGAAAAACTGGGCTTCTCGGCAAGTTCCCGACCTGGGAGCCAGAGTAAGGAGGACTGGCACTACCTTCTTGCCTAGGCCAACCTAAAGCAGCCCACGAAGGAGTCCCCGAGGCTCAGGTTCCACTCTCAATCCTGAACATTCCGAGTAGAATGCAGCTTACCCAGCAACCGCACATGCTCAAACCTGTAATACCCCCACCAAAGGGGGAGGCCTAGTCTACAGCTCCTGGAGGAGAAACCTCATTGGTCACTGCCACGGCAAGCCCAGGCGGCCTTGGAAATTCACCCAGCAATGGTTTACGATCTCTCCCAAGCATATCCCCGGAGGAGGCGGGTGGGGGTGGTGTCCTCGCAGATCTCATCACCCACTCTCCCTTTTTTGCTCAAATCCCACCGGCTTCCCTGGCTGATCCAACGAGCCACGCAGCTCCTGCCCCCGGGCCTTTTTACAGCAACAGCTCCCTGGGCCAGATACCTTTCCGCCCTCACTCCATTTAGGTCTCCGCTCAAATGTCACCTCTTCACACAGAGGTCTCTAACCACTCCCTATAATGGAGCAACCTCCTGAGGGCACTGACCAGCCCAGAATATACCCTCTGTACGTTTATTTGCCTATCAAGATCTGTGCTCGCCCATAAACTGCTTGAGGAATTCTTGTCAGTATTCCCAGTGCCTATTCAGCACCTGACACGGTAAATTCGACAGATGCTGGGCGAACTGACATGGTAGCTAGCCATTCCTTGCCAAGGCTCAAGCTCAGACCAAACCTTTCAAATATTTACTTATCCCCCCGGGGCTTGGCGCCTCTCCCAGCTCTGGGGCAGGCAAAGGAGGGTGGGTGGGGTGGGGGCTGGGGGCAGCTGCAGCGTTTTGCAGAGCAACTGCGCGGGGGAGGGCGCGGCAACGGCAATGGCGACCGAGCCCGCTGCATGCTCTGAGGGGCTAAGGCCTGAGAAAGGACGACCTGAGGCGTCGAGGTCTGACGACCACCGGCCAGGGACGGAGGTGGTGAGAGCAGGGTCCGCAGGCACCGAGGCCCGGGGCCCGCGGACCCAGATGACAGAAGCCAAGACCCCGGGCGGACAGGAGCCGGGACGCCAGGCTGCCAGCACAGAGAACTGAGGCGCCAAGGCATGAGGGGAGCGACCCTGAGGCGACGGGCCTGCGGCGCCATTTTGTGACCGCAGAGAGAACAGTGACCGGGCCCCGAGGGAGGTGTGGGTGAGCCCAGCGCGGCACCGGCAAGTCCCTGTCGCACCCTAGACCCGGAGCCCCACCCGTACCCTGCAGAACCCACCTGTGTAGCTCATGGCGGTGACGAACACTACGGCTGAGGACACGGGTGGGACCTCTGCGCACCCGACGCCGCGATAGAGGCTATAAGCCTCTGGGCAACTTCTATACACACACCGAACCCCGCCTCCCGACCGTATTGGCTTGCGCCCGCCTCGGGGTTCACATCTATTGGACCGACTCACTGTCTATCTCAGCGTCTCCTCACACGAGTGGCTGAAGCTTCTGCCAATCTCTTAAGAGCCCCGCCTTTTACCCGCCTCCCGGTTATCCTAAGCCCGCAGTGATTGGCCAACAGGAGCCGGCAGAGAGGTGGAGTCCTGTGGAGTTTGAAGGGGCGGAGCTGTGCACTACGGCAAGGCCAGAGGCCCAAGCGCAGCCGAGCGGGAGGCGAGCATGTGCCCTGGAGACCCGCCAGAGGGAGCCGGGTCTACCGCGCACGCAGGGCACCGCTTGGGTCCCAGCGCTGCCACCGAGGTGCTATGCAAATTTGGGCTACTTTTCTCAACTTCTCTGGCCTTCAGCTCCAAAACGAGCACGGGGTTAAGCCATGCTGGAATGTGAAAATTACAACTAAGAGCCAAACAAGATGCTGGCATAACCCGAGAAAATGTATGTAAAGAAATCAGTTTGGTGCTAGGTGTACTAAATGCTATGTTTTGTTATTAATGGCAACATAACAATAATATATTTGTATATTTACATAGCATGTTTATATTATATATGTAATAATTCTGTTTGTATCGTGTATCATTCAAATGTTCCCCCAAACCTGAGCTTTTTTTTTTTTTAATTCCCTATTTAAAAGATAAGAAAACTGAGGCTTGGAATCCATGATTTGCTCAAGGTCCTTGACACTTACGCGTGAAAACTGGAACTTTGCTTCTAAAACCCTCTTGGTTCATTCTGGACTTCAGAGATTGTGCAGTAGAGCAGCCTGGCCCCAGCCTTGTCCTCAGCACCGCCCCCCTGGATGTGGGGAAACCACTGTCAGGGACAGCTCAAAATTTCAAAAAGATAACTTGAAACAGCAGTTACAGAAAATGGTACTTAGTGTGCATGTTTGAGAAAACTCATCAATTATGACTTGTACCTTTTTTGTTTTCATTTTTTTAAAGTATGCTATTGCTAACTTTTTTATATTAGTGATGTCAATTTCTTTAGGTATAATAGTGGCATTTTTTAAAGTCCATATTCTTCAAAGAAACATACTGAAATATTAAGATATTGATTGGATGACCGGGACATGCTTCACCTAACTCAGACAGGAAAGGGGAGAAGTTGCAACTGGGGAGCTGATAACTGAAGAATAAACAAGAGTTCATTTTACTATTCACTGTACTATTCTATAGTTGGAATTCTCCATGAAAAAATGTTTTATTAATAATAATCTCCCCCAAATGTGGATTATGCAGAACTTGCTGCCATATGGAACAAAGGCATTTATGATGCATTGAGAGAGGAATTCCATATGAGAAGCACATAGATCTCAGATTGGTGTGCATTCTGGCTTTGGGGTTCATCTCCCCGTCACCCTCAGGGATAGGGTCCTGTCCTCCAAACTAAGTCAGGGCTGCAGGACACCTCTGTGTCCTGTAGCTTCCTTCATGGCATTTGTCGCAGCCATCATTTCACCCTGGTTGATGATTTTGTGAACATCCGATGCCCTCACAGACAAGAGTGAGTTGCTCAAAGGCTGAAACCACGTTGCCTGAGACAAGACAGTAGAATGGCTTAAGCAGAGAAGGGCCGTGCTGAAGTAGCTAGGATTATGGGTGCACACCACTACACCTGGCTATTTTTTTAAAACTTTTTTTTTTGGTAGAGACAGAGTCTCGCTGTGTTGTCCAGGCTGGTCTCGAACTCCTGGGCCTCAAGTGATCCTCCCACCTTGACTTCCCAAAGTGTTGGGATTACAGGCGTGAGCCTCCATGCCTGGCTCACTTTTCTATTTTCAAAACTGATTTACAAAAAGTTGAAAGAGGAAGCACCTTTGGGTCAGTTCTCATCCCATAAGCTGCCCTCTCCACTTCCTAAGTCTTGGATGTTCCCACCCACAGCTCCAGATGGATGGAAGTGGGAGGCCTTCCGCCACGAGGCAAGATGGATGTTGACCCCACAGAAGAAAAGCGAAGCACGCGGGCTAAGACCACCCTTGTGGGTGTGTGATCGCAGGCCGTTAACCCCTCCTTCCCAGGCAGGGCCATGGTGAGGGGCCCAGGGGAAACGGATCGGGGTAGAGGAGGCCCCTGCTGTCCACGCCCCATGAGGTCATTCCCACTTTCCAGCACTTGGCCACTTCGTGGAAACGAAAAGAGCTGAAAAACCACATGCAATCAACAAGAAGGAGCAGCCAAGAAAATCTCTTAAAATCTCAGAAATGTTCAATAAACATTTGCAGAGCGAGAAAATAAATAACATCACAAAGGAGTCAGCGGCTCCTCTTTTTTCTCGTGTTACTTGGGTTCGCGGGTGCATGTGTCTAAACAGACGTCACATGTCTTGAAGGCTGAAGGCAGGCAAGTCCCTGCTGTCTACACCCTCGCTGGCCCCCAAACGCTCCCAACATGTGCTTGTCCCTCCCCTGGCGGGTCCAAGACACCTCGCTGGTCAACTCCTGCCCTCAGTAAGCTCTTCTAGGCTCCATTGCTCCTTGATCCTGGCTCCCTTCCCAGACGGGCAGCCCAGAGGCCCGGTTTCTCTGCTTTACCAGCCGGCCAGAGTCCCCCACCAGCCACAGCGTCGAGGGCCAACAGCTGGGAACTTGGGCTCATCCCCAGCTGGGTCTGGTCGGCTTGGCGGCCAACGGGAAAAGCCCAGGAGCTCTAGGGCTCTGGACAGAGGAGGCCCCGATCCCAGCCCCGGCTGCCAGCCATTGCCAGCCTGTCCACTCGACAGAAAAACACACGCTGGCCGCCTGCCCCGGGGTGTTTCCAGAAGAGAAATTTAATCTAATTTACATATTTCTAGTTACATTGATAACCAAAACGTGGCCACTGAAAAAAGTTAAAAGGTCAAATCAGCTCCCGGTTTCTAGCTGGCCCAGGATTGCAAAATAAAAAGATCCACGTTCCTTATTCTCTACACAAAACGCGCTTTTAAAAAAGTGTGAGGTCTAGGGACCTATACATAGAAAGCAACAGTGAAAAGGGGGAGGGAGACAGGAGTGGGGGAGGAGAGTCCCACCCCCCATCCCACCCTCCGGAGGCCCGGGAGCCCGAGGCTCTTGGGGGCCACTGACATGGCAGGAGGCAGCTGTCAGCTCTGAGCTCTTCCTAGCAGGGAAGGCCCCTCTGGGGGTGGCCAACAAGGATTTCCGTGGCATTGTGGGCTCAGTGGGGGGCTCCCAGGCCGTGGCGGGCCCCACAGAGGGAGCATGGCTTCCCCTGAGCAAGCACCGTGGCATGATGTGGTCGTTCGACTCGGGAACTGGGGGGCTGGGGCAGATCCCGTGTCTCACGAGGTGCACGTGTGTGTGTTCGCATGTACATGCGTGAGAGAGGATAATCATGGGGGCGAGAGGGAACCAGAACAGGGGTCTTTGGGGTCTTTGCAAATGGCCACGGATGGCAGACATAGCCCTGCCTGGCTGCTAGACTCACGGGGGGTGCTGTCCTCCCCTGTGACCAGATCAGCTGCCACCAGAGACCTGGCTGCTGCCCCCGCTGGACCAGGTGGGCTTGGGCTAAAGGAAGACACCCTGTGGCCCCAGAGTCCTCGGGCTGGGGGAAGGGCGCCCAGCTGTAGTGTGCCCGGCCCCCCAAGGGGTGCCGGTTTGAGGTTTTGGCTTGCTCCTTTGGAAACGGAAAAGAAAGAGGGAGAGGAGGGAAGAGGACAAAGAGGAGGAGAGACAGAGGTGGCACAAGAGGGGATCTGGAATGCTTTTGTGTTAGGGAGCCTCGGCCGCCGCTGTCTGTGCCTGCGGGGCCTGGGACTCCTCAGGTGGGGGGTCCGCTTTGGAGAAATTCATCTCCAGGATGTGCCGCTGTAAGTGCCGCACCCACTCTTCCTGGATGGAGAGGGGGCCCTGGAATTCCACTTCACAGAACCTGCATGCGGGAAGAGAACCTGCTGTGAGCAGAGGCAGAAGCACAGCCTTGCCCACATCCCTGGGCACACCTGCGGCTACTCCGTGTGGACGGAGCAAGCCCAGGATGTGAGGGAGTGGGGGCCCAGAAGCCAGATGTTTCCCCATGGACAGCCACCTCCACCCACCACGGGGTCACAGCGGGGTCTCATGGAGTCTTTTGCCTCCAAGAGGTCACTGGCACTTTGTAATGGTCACCTGGCTTCCCAAGCACCTCCGCCACCTGACTGATGCATATGATCTGAGATGGTAGAGGGCACAGGAAGCAGATCCTACCCAACTCGCCAGGCCCCTCTCGTCCTCCTGTCCCTAAAAGAGGCCTCAAAGTGCAGAGGCCCAGTGCCCGAGCTCGTGGCTCCAGAGATGCGGGTTTGAATGCGGCTTCTGACAGGGCCTGCGGCGAGTCACCTCCCATCTTAGTTGCCAGCTTCCTGGTCGCTGATGTACTTGTGGACTTTGGTAAACCTATTTTTTTCTTAATCAGGCAGATATTTGTTGAGTGCTTGCCATGTGCCGGACTGAGTTCTGAATGCTTTATACATATTAAACTCACTTTGTCCTCATCACAGATCTATCAGGTAGGTCTATTACCCATCCCGTTTTATGGGTGGGGAAACTGAGGCATGGAGTAAGTAAGCCCTTGCCCGAGGTCACTGAGCTGCTAAGTGTCAGAGCTGGGATTTGAACACATGTCTTGCGGGCTACAAAGCTCAGGGTGTTAGCCTGATGCTCCGAGATGCCACTGTCTGTGAGGAGGCCTCAGCCCAGGCCCCGCCACACTCAAGGGCAGCCTTTGAGGTGACATCTCCCAGCCCCCACCAGACCCAGACTGTTCTGAGGCTCCCCACGGTGGTCTCCCTCCCCTGGGGATAGTGTACCTGCATTTGAGGGTATAGATGTTGCCAACAAACTTGACGAGTGATGTCTGGGGGGGCCGGGGCACTAGGGAGGGGACCGGCCGGACTCGGGGTGGGGGCTGCCGCACCTCCTCCAGCTTCTGCTGCAGATCATTGACCTCCTCGCCCCCTCGGGCTGCGGAGGCGTCTGGAGGGCGGGCTTGTCGGCGCTCGAATTCTAAGGTGGGGAGAGGGACGGGAGATGAGCAAGAAGGCCAGGACCTGGGGACATTCTTGCCTTTAGCAAGCGAGAAGTGGACACCACTTGTAAGACAGGACAGCTGGGGACTGGATACCGCCTGGACGGGCAGGATGGCAGACAGATGAGTGAATGGGTGAGCAATTGGAGAAGGGACCAAGGGCGATGAACAGCGGAGAGCCCGGTGGGTGGCCGGGTGGGCCCACAGGTGCCTGTAGCCCTCCCGACGTCCCTCCACCAGCACTCACTGTTAATGTTCTGCCGCTGGTGCTCCTCGGCCTTCACGGTGCCCGGTGGGCTGGCTGCTAGAGGCCGCTCACCACTGTCAGCTGCCCGGCCAGCCTCGGGCCCCGGCTCCCCCCCGGCACTGCGGCCGACCATGGCCAGGCCCCCAGGTGCCAGCCCCAGGGGCAGCCGCTTGTCGCTGTCACGGCCATGGCCGGCACTGCGGAACTTCTTGGTGAAGGGGCGGCCGCCCTGGATGTAGCTGCGGTAGGTGCCCACCTTCTGGGGCCGGTGCTTGATCCACTCGCTCAGTGTCTCGATGGGCGAGCCATTGACGCACCACTCTGTCACGCCAAACTGCCGCAGGTGTGCCCGTGCGTGGCTAGCCAGGGCCTTGCGGTTCTCAAAGTAAAGGCCACACAGCTCACAGCAGGCCTCGGTGGCTGTGGGGCGGAGGGGGTGCTGCTGAGCCACGGCCTGAACGGGGCAGGCAGACCCAGGCAGCCCTGCCCAGGCCAGGAGCAAATCCCGCCTCCCACTTGGGCCCTGCTGCAGGGGCCCCACTTGAGGTCAGTGTGAGCACTCGGGGCACTGCCCGGCTCTGCAGGCCCCAGCGGACGCCCTCCCGGGACCCTGCCGCCCGCTGCTTACAGGAGTGGGAGGTCTTCTCGTGGAGGGTCTTTGCCTTGAAGGGCAGTTCAGTCTGGATGTAGGTCTTGGCCTTGACCTCTGCTGGAAGGAGGCGGTCCTCCTGCAGCGGCCGCTTGGCTGCCACTGAGCCCAGGTAGCCAGTGGCTGAGGGCTTGGCCCCAGTGATGGGCGTCAGGCTGAGCTCTCGGGGAACCTGGGCTGGCCCTGCTCCTGGTTTGCCTGGGCGAATGGCCAGGGGCGACAGCGGCAGTGGGGACTGCATGGGCCCAGGGGCTGCTGTGGGGGCGCCGTCCTCAGCCAAGGCAGGGGCCAGGTCTCCAGCGGGTGGCTCCTTCTTGATGAGGCACGGTTTGGACTTCTTCTTGAGGATCTCCCGCAGCGTGTCGATAGGCGAGCCGTTGACGGACCATTCTGTCACACCCATCTGCCGCAGGTGGGAGCGTGCGTGGCTCGACAGGCCCTTGCGGTTCTCGAAGAACTCTCCGCAGAACTCACAGCGGATGTCGCGCACCGGCTCTGCCCGGGACGCTGCAGGGGGTCCAGGGGAGGGGGAGGAGGAGAAGGAGGCGGCGGCTGCGGGCAGGAAGCCTCTAAGCTCGAGGCCCATATCAGTGCCAGCTGCCTACCTGCCCCTGTCCACACCCCCCGCCAGACCCCAAGGACTTGCTCCCTCATCTGGGCCTCCAGAGGCTGTGTGTACATCCAGCCCTGCTGCTTGTTCCGTCACTTCAAATCTAACTGGCTTCACAGTGTCTCCTTGTGTGATCCTGGGCCAGCCACTCCCCCTCTGTGAGCCTCAGTTTCCTCCTATGCAAAATGGAGATGAAAACTCCCACCTCCCAGTGTGACCACGAGGGTCTAAAATGGGGACAGTTCAGCCCACGTGGCACAGAGCATGTAATGCACATGAGCTCTGAGGCAGAGCCTGGGCCACCCTCACCTGCTCAGCACACAGCTGGCATTTAATCATCCTGAACACAATGAACACAGCGACGGTGCAACAGGGAAGCCAGTAACGGTGACATTACCGCCACTGTGTAGAGAGCTTTCTGTAACCAGGCATTGAGCTAAGTGCTTTGTCCCACTTAATCCTCGAAGAAAACCATATGGAGTTGGGACTACGCTGATCTCCATCTTCCAAATGAGGAAACCTGCCCAAGGTTACACATTGCTAGATTGTGGAGGAACAGAGATCTTGACTCAGACTCCATATGCCAAGCAATTACCAGGAATGCCAGAAAGACACAGTTCACATATCCACTGCCAGTTCCTATGCTCCTGCCCATGGCAGACATCACTAATTGATCCCTGCAGTCTTTCTCCCTAGGAGTCTGGTTGGCAGCCGCAACCAACTGATGATGGCACAAGAGATAGAATCTTTTTGCCATCGCCGAATGACACAATTCTGCCTCCCCGTATGAAAAAAGGAGAATCAAAAAGCAGCTCAGTTGTAGGGGTCCGCGTAGCAAGAATGCATAGCTAGCCCTGTGTCCTTTGGACCTGTGTATCCTCCCTTCCACTGCAACCCTGGGCGCTATGGATACCCCGAGGGGAGGCAGGGAAGAGACCCCTCCAGTTGTTCTCCCTGCCCTGCCGCAGGGTCACACTTACACAGGTTCAAGGGTGTCATGTCTTCCCGCGGCGCCCCCCACGGACCCTCAGATGGGTGCGATTCCCCATGAAGGGCCCCTGGCAGCATCTCCCGTTTGATCTCCACCCGCATTTGTTCAGGCTTCAGCTTCTTGGGCAGGGACGGTGCAGCCAGGCCTGGGAACATCTTCCGGGCCGTGGGAGGAGAGGCAGTTGGTGAGTGGCCCAGGGGGCTGCCTGGTGGCGGTGGCAACTTCTTGGCCAAGGGTGAGATGTGAAGGTCCGAGGGACTGCGGGCTTCCAGCGCGCTGCCAGGACCTCCGCTGCCCATCACCTTGGCCAGGCCTTTTGGGCTGGGCCCTGGTGGGTTGGGGGGTCCGCCGGGCCGAGATTGGGTCCGTCTTTTCAGGATCTCCCGCAGCGTGTCGATGGGTGAGCCGTTGACGTACCACTCAGTCACACCCATCTGCCGCAGGTGGGAGCGTGCGTGGCTCGACAGGCCCTTGCGGTTCTCAAAGAACTCGCCGCAGAACTCACAGCGGATGTCTCGTGCTGGCTCTGGGCCGGAGGCTGCAGCGGGAGGGGAAAGGGGCAGTTAGTACTGTGGCACCACTAGCACCGTCACCTGCAGGAGTGTCCTGGTCGGCTGGGTGTGGGCAGCAGCATGCCCACAGGCTAGGGTGGTGGCAGAGGGGAGGTGCAAGCGAGGGAGCTCAGGAGTCGGGCAGGGGGGCCAGATACCCGGCAGAAGCGAGGGAGGCTCCAGAGAGCGAACGGGCCCTCGGTCCTGGCAGAGGATGGAACCAAGACTCCACAGCCCTACGAGTCCCAACAAGGACAAAGGCAGGAGGGCAAGAAGCGGCAGCCTAGGTGCCACGTGCCATCCAGACCCGGGGTGGATATGGGTGCCTTCTACACCAAAAGGCAGGATCCCCCCTCTTGGCCTTCATTCTCAGGGAAGGTCACCGGTCATGGAGGTCAAAGGCCAAGAGAGAGGGCCTAGCAGCCCACTGCCAAGGGCCCCTGTCTACTCCCTGCCCCGGCAGGGAGAGAGTAGGGAGGGGACTGTGACCCCCCCCGCCCCGGGAGGGGCTCCAGGGCCCGCAGGGAGGAGGGGGCGGCTGAAGCGAGAACCTACAGAGGTTGAGAGGAGACGGCTCCACATCAGAGGCCCAGAAAATGCCGGCGGCTGCAGCGGCCGAGAGGTCCTGCTTCCCCCAGGGGCTGGCCATACCCGCGGCCTTCAGCTTGGCCTTCTTGGCCGGCGGTGGGGGGGGGAGCAAGGAGAGGGCCGCGGAGGTGGGAGGCCGCCCCAGCTGGGCCAGGGCTCCGCGCCCGGGTGGGAGGCGGATCTGGACGCCGTCCCTCCTGATGAGCCCGTGGAGCACGTCTATGGGGGATCCCTTGGCGTCCGGGTCGCTGACGCCCAGGTGGCGCAGGTGGGCACGGGCGTGGCTGGACAGGCCCTTGCGGGTCTCAAACCAGGCACCGCACAGCTGGCAGTCCAGCTCTCTGCCCCCGTCACTATCTACAGCTGCGGAGACAAAACACAGGGGGGCGGTTCACGGCCGCCACCTTGGCCGGCCCTGGGGGACTGAGGCAGGAGGGTCTGATGTGATTCTTGGCTGCCCGGGCAGCTTGGGATCCAAGACCCACGCTGCGCATTTCTTTTGAGAGGTTTTGGGAGGCAGAACTGCCCCGCCTCTTGGCATCAAGGTGAGTGTGGAGAGGGTAAGGGTGTGGGTGGACAGGTAGTGGCCAAATCGAACACTCCCAGGCCCTCTCTCCCCTGGCTCCCCTTCTATGGAAGCTGTGTGGGGTGGATGGTGACTGCCGAGCACCATGCAGCCAAATGCACACCTGCTCAGGGCCCTGCTCCAGGAAGCACAGCAGATCGAGTGGAAGCAACTTCAAGGGAACATGAGGTGCCAACCGGGACCCTGGGGTCACCCCTAGACTCTAACTTTAATGCCCACAAATGTATGTTCTAAGACACACCCTCGTTAAACCTGCTCACTGCGCCTGGAGGCTTTCTGCCCAAACCCTACCTTCCAAGCCCACAGGTGACTCAGGAGATGGGGTTCCACCCCCGGGCACAGAGGGACAGTGCTACATCTACAAGGACAGCCAGGAAGATGTGAAGACATGGCCAACTACTGGGACCTCCTGTCAGCTAGAACATCTGTCTACCTGCCGGACCCAGGATGCTTTGAACTCCCGCTGGGGAAGCCAGGCCCACGGGGGCCCCGGTTGCCTTCACTGCCCCCAGCCTCAGGCCCAGAGAAGGCCAAGAGCTGCCTGTGAGTGGTGAGGGTGACTCTGGCAGATTCAGCAGCTGCAGCCAGGCCTCCAGGGATGATCGACAAAGTCAAGTGGGAGACAGATGATCACATGCTGGGCGGCCCAACAGGGGACACAGAGCCTTGACCAGCGCTCTGACCTGGCTGACTCAGGACATGGGAGCTGGAGTCCCCACTGCCCCCACCCTGGGCCCTGCAGCCCAACCTGAGGCCCCTTCCCTCCCGGTGCCGGGACCTCCCTTGGCTCCCGGGACCCACACTCACTGAGGTTCAGGGGCCCCTCGTCCTCAGACTGAGGCCACTGTGCCTTTGGGGAGGCTGGCCGGGGGCTCAGGGACAGCTGGGGGCTCTTGTCCTCAGGATTCTTGGGGGTAGGGGAGCCTGCCAGGGTCAGCGGTGCTTTCTTGAGGAGCGGAGAGCTGGGCGGGTGGGCCAGGCCCTTGGCTGAGAAACCGGGAGGCGACTTGATGGCTTTGTTGACAGATGGTGCATCCAAGGGCTTGGCCAGGGTGAGCAGGCCAGGCCGGGGGGCCCCGGTGACCACCTCCTTCAGCGAGCTGGACTTCTTAGCCAGGCCTGGGGGCAGCCCGAGGTGGGCGTCGGGCAGGCCCTTCTGCTTCACAAGCTCGTAGAGGAGGTCGATGGGCGCGCCGCTGCTCTCCGACTCTGCCACTCCCAGCTGCCGCAGGTGGGACCTTGCATGGCTGGACAGGCCCTTGCGGGTCTCAAAGCAGGCGCCACAGACCTCGCAGGTGGTCAGGCTCTGGGCTGGAGGGCAACAGAGGCCAGGAGAGAGCAGGCTGTGAGGCCCGTGGGCTGGCTCTCCTGCTTCCCCTCCCCTGGGGTCCCCCTCACCCAGCCTCCAGGGAAGTCTGTCAAGCCCTCCTGATCCTCACAATGACCCTAATGAGCTGGGCATCAGCCCGTCTGGTTTGCAAATAAGGAAACTGAGGCTCAGAGAGGGGAAGAGTTGTGCCTAAGTCACACAGCAATAGACAGAGCCCTTCTGTGCTCCAGCCAGTGGGACACCTTTCAGAATTCTGAACCACCAGGGTGCCTTGGCAACAGATTCACATAAATGCTGACCTGCCAGCCACCTGCTTCACTGATCTAAGTTCTAGCCACCCTCTGCAGCTCAACTCATGCCCCAAATGCTGGATGGACGTCCAGCTACGGTCTCTGTGGTCCCACGTTCCTTCCTCTGTAGAGCCCTTATCCCCACCTAGCTGCTTCTCTGCCTCCTCGCCCCTCATCCTGCTCCTCTCACATCCCTGGGGGCTACCCCAGGGCCTGCTACTACTCAGTAACGACCTTAGGATCAACGGACAGATGAATTGATGTCACACAGGAGACAACAAAGCTAGAAAGGGTCACAGTCAGCAAATGACTGAGGTCTGAGTGTGAGCTCCTGGCCACCATGCCCACTGATTCTCTGGATGCCTTTCCCTTGCCCAGTGAGGGCGCAGCTCAGTGCCATGCATGCCTGGGGCAGCAGAAGCTCAAGAGAGAAGACAGCTGGGTGGCTCCTTGGTGTCTCAAGGTGCCAGAGAGAAAGCTGTGGCCAACCTGGAGCCCCACATTCGCTCCCAGGCCTGAGAGTTCCTGTGTGAGTGTGACCGGCCTGGCCAACACCCCCTGCCATGCCACCTGAGCCACTCACCCTTGAGGTCCGGCAGCTCCTGTTTGCTGCCATGAGGAACCTCTGCAGCCACTTTGCTGCTCAGCCGACTGGCCACCTGCTCCAGGGCCCCAGGGACAGGCAGGGTCTTCTTAGGGAGTGGGGGGGAGCCCAAGTCCATGGCCACCATTGCGTTTTCCTCTGAACCCAGGCCTGTGGGGTTGGGGAGATAGGCTCAGACCAAGCAAGGCTCAGGCTGTCCTGGGGCCATCCTAGAAGGACTGAGAGGATGGCCCTTCTTCCTCATCCTCAGTACCTGCTCTCATTCTGGGAGGCAGCTCACCTCGTGAAAGCTGAGACTTGACTTTTAACCCCCAGCACCAGCATGACACAGGGACATTGATGCTGCCCGATGACAGCAGGGATAGCAACAGCTTCCACCCACCAGAACTTGGACAGGTCAGGGGATGCAGCGCAAGTCTGAGCCAAGACTCCCGCACTAGGGGATCTCAGAGAAGACATCTTTCTGGGCAGAACTCATGAGAAGGAACATCTGTCCATCTGGGGGGTGAGAGTGCAGGCAGTCAGGAGACTACAGAGGCAGGGAGCCAAGAACAGGGAGGTAGTGCCACAGGACTTGTGAGGAACATCCACCAGGCAAGGCAGCTGAGGCTATAAAGACAATGTGGGGGCCAGAGATGGTCTACTCATCACAAGCTGAGCCCTAAGTAGGGTAAGGTGAGAACCTGGGGACTGGGCCAGTAGTGATCGGATGGGGGACAGGAAAAGTGGGGATCACAGAACTTTGTGCAAAGTTTCTAAGGCATCTATCAGGCTAGGCAGCTTCCCCAGGAGAGGGGTATGTGGGGAAAGCGAATCAGGGGTGCATTTTCCCAGGCTAATTTTTCAGAGAAAGAGGCCTGGGAGGCCTGTTGAATCACAAATTTAGAGTTCAGAGCCCGGGGAGGCTCTGAGGATGAAGGGGCTGTGTGTCAGATGGGGCTGCGGAGGCGCTCAGGAGAATGTGATGGGCAAGGGGCCAGGTAGATCCCTGCTCAGTTTGAGTCCCACAGAGGCAAGAAGTAGACAGGCCGGGAGGCCGTCGGGAGCTGGGACACCGAGGACTTAGTCAAAGTCTCCGGGTGGGGTGGGCGCGTCTGTCAGATGGGGCAACACCGAAGTGGGTTTCCGCGCCGAGGGACCGGAACCGTGGCGAGGGACGCTCCCGGGGCTCCAAGAGGGACAGGGGACATCTGTCAGATGGGGCAAGGGTCCCGAGGAGCGGCAGCGAAGTGTTTCTGAGGCCCGGAACCCTGCGAGCAGCCACAGGAGGCCCGGGGCCCGCGCGACTGATTGGCCGGGGGGAGGGGGGGTTCCGGAGACTGGACGGTGGGCGTCGGGGCGGCGGCACGGGAGGGCGGGACGCCGACCTTCCCCTCCCCGCACCCTCCCCGGCGCGGGCTCTTACCCGGCGCGGGCGCAGGCCCGGGCCCGGGCCCGGGCCCCGGCTCCGGCTCGGCCTTGGGCCCGTCCCGCGGCGGCGGTGGCGGTGGCGGCGGCGGGGGTGGGGG